GACCAAAATGTGCATGCTTTGAACAGCTTCCCTACCTATTTCAAAGTCTTCAAACCTTAACCATTGCAGTCAAACCACGCTTTACGGACACCCACTTAATACTCGGGCAACTCATTATTACGGAAAGTTTGCTTTGTTCCTGGCGAAAGAAAGCTCTTACATTTTCTCTACTTCAACCCGCTTAACACGGACACTCCCTTAATACATATGGCCACTTTCTATGACCCCCTCAGTGTCCGGATTGACGGGGTTGGACTGTATTTACAAGTAAATAATGAAGATAAAAGCACGTGTCCCTTCTTTCAAAAAGCGTAAACAGCCGATATTTCGGAACTCCATCACTGGTTTCCTCCCCGAAATATCGTCTGGGGAACGAGCGCAGAAATTTCATTCTGATCTCCGGGTTAGTGCTTGTCAGCACGGAAATTTGTTTCAAACAATCAAAAGCGGTAGCCCGATTTGGTTATTGACACGCTATCAGTATGGAATTTTTTTTCGCCGGAGCCTCAGTACCATCAGCGACGTCGCGAAATATCGGCTGTTTTTTCAGGCTACAAAAAGTGTAAATCCTTATTTAATCTATCTTTAACCCAAACGGTAAAAATATATACCCAATTTCACATCTAAAGGGTCACTGCTAAATGTCCCCTGTATCATAGACATCATAGGACACAGCAAAGGAAAAAAGCAACTCGATTTGCGTTTTCCCGACTATATTTTACAAACAACTACTTCGACTAGATACTCCGACAAATTAAGGATTGGTGTGTGCCTCTCAGCTGGTTCTTAATCCATGACTCTATTTAAGGAAGATGATCACGAGTGAAAATGACACTCATAAAGGCCGAAACAACCAAAAGGACATTCTATATAAGGAAAAGCTGATAACGCTCGGAAACGTTTAAACTAGTCGGTTATGTTTATATCCCAGTTTCTTTACATTGTAATGCGTAAAGTTCAGATTTCTAGCTGAAGTAAGAAATAGTGACCAGTTTTGCTAGTACTCTAGCCAGGTATTTTTTGTTCAGATCTTCAGAGCCACCTACGTTTGGTGATTTTAGCCGGATAGCCTATTTATCAAGATTAACTCTCAAGGATGCCCTCTTTCCAAAACTGTCGTGCAAAAACAACTGCAAAAAAAGAGAATGTCCTCCTTTCTGGAATGATTATATAACTGCTGGTTATATTTAAGTCGCAAACAACTAAGTACACTGCAAAAGTAGTTGTCTAATTATTCGTCGTGTGAGGTGTTAAACAAACACATCCTGAGTAATCAAAAAGTTATTACAAACTAAAATGTGGCTCAAATCAGCAAAAACTGCAGATGCAGATTCCTCATTGTTATCCGGATATCATCAGCCATAGCGCCCAAAGCCGGACACATGTTTCAGAGTGCTGATAAGGATTATAGTAAAAATTCTTGTTTATTACTTGCCTTCTTAAGATTTTTTATCTGATTTTTGTAGTTAATAGTCTCGGGTTGGAAAAGAGCTGTGTCAAGAAAGTTATCAAAGTTCAAGCAGTGGGAACTTCCGGCCAATTGAGTGACTCATTAGATAACCGCTTAAACAGTATAAATGCAGCATGAAAACGGGCACAGATGACAAACTTGTACAAAGATTGAAGCAGACTGCAATTGTGGTTTTAGAAAGTTTGTTAGCCTCACAAGTCTTAAAAGTTCATTTTTGTTGTTTGCCGACTCCGTTTGAAATATAATTCTGAGGGGACATACTAAAAATTATTTGTTTGACGCGAACTAGTATAATTTTGTTAGTATTTACAGGTAATTTTTCGAGTTGATAGCGAACAAGGACACGTAATTGGCAAAATGAACAAGTAATCCGTGACATGCACCGCCCCTTAATATTTTAGCGTTTTCACTAACTAACGTTTTACTTTTTCACGCATTCAAAACCTTGCGCTTTTTGCCACCTTTCGTTTCAAATTTATCAACTTTCATAACTGCGGTACTAGGAGTCACAAGATTCAGAAAGACTTTTGTTCTTGGTCCATATATAGTTTAATCGTGAAAATAAAACAAAAACAGTGGTCATAAAAATTGTTAACTTTGGCATTTTTAATTTATATAAACTTTTTTATATACGTTTCGTATAGTCAACATACATCTTATGTATACCTTATGTATGGCAAAAAAGGGAACTAATAAAGCATCAGTTTTCCAGTCTGCTGGTGACATAAAAAGCTGGCATAAGATCTTGTATAAACAATGTTTAAAGATTATTTTTCAACAATAATCTGATTTGCCAGACGCTAAAATTTCAAAATGATCCCACTTGATGTTATCTTTCGATTTTACTGACGGCCTACTTGACGATGAAATTGCCCATATAATGAGAATTCCACAAAAAATCACCGTAGCCGGGGACGAAGAGGAATATCCGGCTACTGGAACGAAAGGTACCGCGGGGGCAGCCATGACATTGTCAACGATGGCCTTTCCAGGACGAATCGACATCGGCAATTTTGCTTCTCCAACGAGTGAAATTCCCAAGGATTTAAGAGATAATTTGGGGAGTGTAAATCACTATCCAGTGGATAGCTTAATCGGTTTCCCGTCTACTTAACCGATGGGTAGTGATTTAACCGTTGGATAGCGCTATTCAACTTTTGAACAACCAGGGCCTGGACTGTAGAATGTAGGAAAAGACGTATCTAGTTCAATTGACTGTAGAAAGAGAGGGAGGGAAAAGAGAGAAGAATTAGGGGAAAAGGAACCAGCGTTCCATTGCAGTCAAACATTGGGTGCTTTCCGGACCGTAATCTGGAATACTGGAAATACAAAGAGTAATCTGGAATATTCGTTCAATTGATCTTCAATTCCAACTCTTGAATAAAGTAATAAATTGTATTCCAAACGAGCAAAGAACGCTTGTGATAACACGGAATAATGACGTCTCTTTCCTCGCGTCGCATAACGGATATCGTGGTCTTATTTATTTGTTATTCGCAATAGCTCTATCCAAAGACACTTTTCCTTAAGCGCTCGTGACAGTGGGGGGTGGAATTATGCGTGAACCGATGTTTATTATCATTTATGCCTATTTTATTGTCGAAGAATTTCTTTAGGCAAAGAGCTTGACTCTATTATTAATTCCTAGTAAACTGGCGGTTTCTTCGGCAGACAAATTGCAACGTGTAAATCTGCCTTACGGTATCTGGTTCATTAGAAGCATTGCCAATACCGTAAAATTCCGAAAATAAGCCCCGGGGCTTATATTTTTCAAAGGCCCTTTTTTGAGGGTCTTATTTTGGAGGGGCTTATATTCGGAGGGGCTTAAGTACGGAGGGAAATTTGCGTTTCAAAATCGATTGGGCTAGCTTGTAGTGGGAAGGAAATTTACCAATTTTGCTTTGTTTTATTTTGTATTCGAGGGCAAATCCCAAGTACAAGCCCCCCAGGGGGCTTATATTCGGAGGGGCGATTTAACGGAGGGTTTTTTGCGTTACCATTTTAGGGGGCTTATACATGGAGGGGCTTATTTTTGGAATTTTACGGTACCCTAACACTGATTGAGTGAAATTTTAAGGTAATTATAACGAATTGCCTTTTGAGCGTAAATAGGTTAGTCAACAGAAAACATTAATATGCATTTATTCTTCAATTTTCCGTGAAACGTGAATTACTTGATTTTTCCGTGACCGAGGAAAAATTTTACAAATTATTCGTGACGCGAGAAAAGTCAACAAATTTCACGCAGTCCGGCATACTGTTGATATTTTCTTAACTCTGGACACTCAGTCAGTGTCACTTCATTTGGCTACGTTTTGGATGATTTTCTTTTCATACACATTAGTTTTTAACGGAAGTCGAAATCATCCTCTGAGGTTAAAAACAATGACGTCACAAATGATACACAAGCGCTAGTACGGTTGTTAGTGTGTCCATCGGTTGACTAATTTCATTTGTAGTTTTCTAACTCCGCCTCCAGGCATGGGGGAGTGCATTCTAATAGTCGACTTTCGAAACAAGCGCACCTAGCTAAGGGAAACGGAAGTAAGAGTTACAAGATCATCGTTCCAAGATGTATATGACGCCAGCAGTAAATGCAGAAGAGTATTATTTAGAGCTGGGAGCCACCCAAACTGGCAACGTTGAAGAAGTATACGATGACATCATTGTCGGAGAAGCAGCGACAAATGTTCAGGTGCAAAAAGCTAGTAACGGGTATAGTTACAAGGGAAGCACGAAGGGGCCGCTCGCAACAACAGAGGTTGAGAAGCTGGAGAAGGTTCTGAGAGCCGAAATCTTGAGAGCCCGGCGAATGAGGCTCTTCATGTTGACTGTAATTATCGTAACGTTCTTGATCGCTGTTGCCGCTTTGATTTTGGTCATAATGAAGACAGCGGATGGAGAAGGTTCAGCCGCTCCGAAGCAGGAAACAAAAGCACAAGGTAAGCGGATTTACAAGCTGTTTTCTCGCGGAAAAACACCGGCCTTCGATTTCATTAGGCATGCATGCACCCAATGGCGAGATAGTTTTCTTTAACCAGATAAACAAAAACTAGCGAATATCGATTACTTTGATGGAAATTACTGAGATAAACAACAAATTACATGAGTAACCGTCATTTTTGTTTACCAGTCAGTTAATCTGACCTGAGCCTGACCGATAAGCATGGATACAAGGTGGATGATTTTTATGTCCGCAAGGTGGATGATTTTTATTTTAAACGCGCGTGAAATGTGGACGGAGCACATCTCTCCTGATGAAACTTGTTGTAGCTTTTGTTTTCAAACGATAAATTTAACCCCCGGCTTTTTCGCTTCAGCGAAAAAAACGCCTCATCGCAAGCTATAGAATTCGTCTGGTAGTTGTTGTATACGCCATTCGACTGCTCTATTACTAAACAAAAAACTACATTGTAGCTACCATGCAAATTAGA